TTATAAGTTAAGGAATAGGGAGAAATATAATTAAACTAAGCACTTGCAAGTGTGTGTGTGTGTGTGTGTGTGTGTGTGTGTGTGTGTGTGTGTGTGGTGTTGACCCCAATAATGGAATCATCCCAAGCTTTCTTTAGAGGCATCAATATATAATTAATAATATAATTCAGAGTTCTCATTTTGGAATATAATTGATAACCCTGGATGATGTTGGGGTGAAACTGAATGAAGTATGTGTACGTGTACATTTTACAGAGATCCAAAGTTTTAAGGAATTTTGTTTTGGAATGGCCCTGTGATGTTATCCAGAATAATGAGAAAGCATAACTGTAGACCAAACATTGTTTTTTTTTATACTGAAAGATTATCCATATAAATGATAACTTACCCAAAGAAAGAGTGCTAGTTAGAAGCAGAGCTGAAACTAAGCAACAAAACCTACCTCTTTTGAGATATAGTCAGACTAATGTCACTTATGAATGTAATCTTTTCTGCATGTATACAGGATGGAAGATGAATCTGGGCTTCCAGGTCAGTGGATCCATTATACTCTTCCTTTGACCTTGTGTGGCATAGTTGTTTCTTTTAGACTGACTTTCCAAATCTATAAAGCAAACTAAAAGTGACTCCTCCACCTGAAAGGGTTCTTTGTTTCCAGTAATACAAACCATCTAGTTAGACAGTAGCAATTTATTAACAGGATGTGAGGAAGATTAAGGTTAAGGATCCTGTTTGCCCCAATGTCAAGAATAGTACATGCTATTGTTATTTAAAAGCATCCAGAAGGATGGAGAATCAACTTAGAAATGGCAGAAAGAATAAGTCAACGAAACAGTGAAAGCCACAGCCACATGCTAGCCAAAGCAGGGCCATAAGAAGTTCTATCATTGAGCTGTTCTGAATGATGGGATTTATTCACCAGTGCTAATGATCATTGATAATGCTCCCAATATCGCATCCCATTGGGACCCTTTCCATGGTAGGAAATAAGGTATGGAGTCAGTCCTCAGCCTTAACTGGGGAATAAATTCATTTTTGTTGCTGTTGTTTCAGTTTTTTTGAGACAGAGTTTCTCTGTGTTGCCCTGGAACTCGCTCTGTTTGTAGACCAGGCTGACTGTGAACTCTTAGATCTGTCTCTGCCTCACAGGTGCTGGGATTAAAGGTAGGAATACATTGTTAATTTCGTGCTGTATCTGATTTTTGCTACCAACCCAAAATCTAGGCAACATCCTAGTTGCAATGGAGTCTAGAAAAAGCATCTAAATAATTTGGGGTCTGATACTGGCAATTTCACCAAAACTCACATAATACATTTCTCAAACATTTGAAACCAACTCAAGCGATGAACAACTCTCCAAAGAAAGCAGACACAGGTCTACAAGGCCACTCCATAGAGTCTGTGTGAGGCTTAAACAATACACGGGGATGTCTAGAAAATAGTAAAAACAAAGTTCTTGATTTCATTTTTGTGATCGTATTATAAGAATCAAGCCACATCTTCATAGAAAGCCAGTTTTGACTACATAGGTTAGAAAAATAATGACTTCAGGTATTCTCATTTCAAAGACTGAAAAAACATGCTTGATACATAGCTGGGCCACATCGTAACTGCTGAGGATTTGCAAAGCCATGAGTTTACTTCCCAGCACCAGAAAAGGAGGCAGAGGAGGAAGAGAGGGAGGAAGTGCAGCAGGAGGAGAAAAGTATAAGGAAATAAGAAAATTAAAGGGAATTACAGAAAAGATGAAGGTGGAAAAAAAATGAGACACACATATACATAGCAGGGGAGAAAAAAATAACACAAATCAGTGGTGCAAGCTTGAAGTTCCAGCACTTCTGAGGCTGAGGCAGGAGGATAGCCAGTTTAAGGTCAAAGTGGGCTACAAGGTAATACCTTAAAAAAAGAAAAAAATACCCAAAAGAGGGCATTGATCACATAATTACTGATTCCTGCACGGCAAAGAATTGTTTGGAAGAAAGAGCAAAGAGTCAAGCTGTTGAACACAGGATAACACGGTGGCTCCTCTCCTCCAAGGTGCTCAGGCCAAGATGCCAATAATTAAAGACAGAGACTTAGGTATGTCCCCAAGTTTTAGAGAATTAAATTCTTGTAACACGAACCTACTTAGTGATGGGTTGTATATGCTTACAAGTTTACTTTGTTTTGTTTAAAATTTACAAAAAAAATAGAGGTTTGGATTTTAATTTTAATTTTGGCACATCCTCTTCTGACATTCATTCCTCTTATACATGTACAAACTTGAAAAAACCCACAATTGGGATTGGCTGCAAAAATAGTGTCTCTGAGATATTACCAATGATTTCATTTGATCTCAGATGACTGTGACTATCTGGCAAAGAATCCCAATTAAAACATGAAAAATATCAATAATGCTCCCAGAACAATGTCCTCAAAACATCTAGATATGGTGTAAATATGAGGAAAACCCTTCTTTCTGTGGAAAGGCACCTATTCTTCACCCTTTTTATTTGGGAGGTATCCTGCTCTCCCTTCAGGAGACTGTAGTAATATGGTAGCTAGGGGCCTCTGCTCATTTCCCCTCGCAGGCTTTTGTGAGCAGCTTACACTGATTAATCAGGTAGAGTTCTTTGACTTGAGGTTATGTGGTTAGTCCAGCGTCAGGCATGTTAAATTGCTCAGGCCTTGCATCACTTCTTTCTGAAGCTCAGTATGGGAGTTTAAGACTCTCGGGTTTGCAATCCCTCAGAAGCATATAGCAATGGAGCAAGGACCTTCTGGTCACCCATGGACAAAACCCACCTGAAAGTGAAACCAAACAAAACCACACCGATCAGCAGCTGCCAGGGCAAATCATTTACCTTTTTAAATAGTTTGAGTTGATTATGTGACTTCAAAGTTTATAGTGTTGCACACAAAGTCCTAAAGCCCTCCAAAAAAAAGCTGCAGACCCTCTTGATAAGAGATAACCTTTTAATACAGCTTGAGAAAACATACTATGGCAAACCAATTATGAACTCTAGAAAACTATACACGTGATTAGTAGACATGGAGCAATAAAACCTTCTAGCTCCTCCACCTAAGGCTGGAAATCAGTATTTTCAAGCTCATAGAGTCACACAATGCTGAGACAAAGATCACTTTAAGAATAATCATTCATGAATATGGACATTTTTGTCTGTGTGTATGTATGTCTGTGTAGCATGTGTGTGCTGCACCCTTAGAGGCCAGAGAAGGGAATTGGCTTTGCTGGAGCTAGAGTTCCAGGTGCTTGTGAGCCAGCATAGGTGATGGGAATTGAACCTGCGTCATCTGGGAAGGCAGCCTGTGCTCTTAACCACTGGGCCGTTTCTCAAACTTCTCTCACTGTACTTTAAAGAACTACAAATTCATTTTCTTCCATAGAAGAAGAAACCGTCAGGTGAGCCTTTGATTAGTGCTCATATGCAAAGTGGAGTTGTACACAATCCACCAGGAGCCTGGACAGTCTGGAGCTTGCTGGGGAGCCACCATGCACAGACTGAGTCACTGGTGGCCATGGACCTGTTAAGCGCCTTCAGGTCACACGTTCGAGAGACAGATTCTCCCTCAGTTTTTGACTGAGGCCATTACTGATATGGTGGCATTCTGCCAGGGAACCCCTTTCCTCTAAGAACAGCGCAGATAACTAGCGGTACAACCCCCACAATTAAAGCTACCTCTTAGGGATGAGGAGATGGCTCAGTGAGGGCAAGCATAAGGACCAGAGTCTGGATCCGCAGAACCCATGCAAAAGCCGTGTTTCCATGGGTCACAGTCTTTTACTCCAGCGATGGAAAGGCGGAGTCGTCCACATCTGGGAGGGTTGCTGGCCTAGCCATTACTGTGAGCTCCAGGTCCAGTGAGATTTCTTTCTTTAAAGAATACCGGGAAGAGTGATAGAGGAAGGCAACACACACACACACACACACACACACACACACACACACACACACACACAC